TCCATATGGAAAAGTAAGGCAATTAAAAATTCCAAAATCAGTTTAATATTAGAAAAAAAAATGTTTAGCTCGGAAAATTATGAAATTAGTTTCACATTTTCCCCTAATACCATGCTCTATCTTAGGGTGGCTAGCTTGAAATTGTTTAAATCTTGATGGGCTCACTTTGGGGCTTATTTGCTATTATAAGCTCTCAATATCTATTATAATTAGCATAGTTATTAGGACCATACCAGACATCGAACCGCTTAAGGCCTCAGTTCACAGTTCACGGTTTGATTGGTCCAACCGGTTGAATCGTCGGTTTAATCCGGTTCAAATAGAATGAAGAATGATACAAGAACACAACTGAAGTCATGGCTCAGTGGTGGACAACTTGCTCTCTGACCCTGCACACCAGAGTTAGCTAGTTTTATACCGGTTCGATTGCTTACCGGTCCTTTAAGGTGGACTGGACCGGCCGAGGCTCTGATTCGGTCTTTTACCGGTCGGACCGCCGGTCCGGTCCGGTCCAAATAATTATGATAATTAGTCGATGTTGATTGTCTAGATTACGTCGAAGAGCAAGTGGAGCGTGGTCCCATGGGCTGGATAAATTTTGAAAGTAGTTGTGTTGGCCTGCACAGCTACATGCATGCATATGTGCGGTAGGGTGCATGCAGCCACGCAAACTGACTCAACTACTTTGAAAAGTATCCAGGCTAGGGGATCAGCACCTACTATGATCCTAACGATGCTCCACTAGCGATTCTACATAATCTGGACAAGCAAAATCGATTAATTATAATAGATAATGGGAGCTTATACTATCAAATAAGCACCAAAATGAGTTCATCAAGATTCAAACAATTGCAAGCTAGGCACCATTAGATACAACATGATTTTAGGAAGAAAAAAAAATCTGAAACTAGTTTCACTATTTTCCAAGCTAAAACAAAATTTCTGTGAATTTTCTAAAATAAAATCGGATGTTAGGGTTTTAAATTTTGCATTTTTATGTAAATATATAAATATATTGAAAGTTTTATGAATTTTTGGATATTTCTTTTAGAATATTTCTAGTTTGATTTACCTTCATGAACTTTTAGTTTAGTTCGATTTATCCTTTCTCTGACGTGGCACCATATATGTAAAACCACTATCAAAATTGTTCATGGTGCAAAATAAATGGTTCTAAAAGTTGATGGGGTAAAAAAAATGGTTCTATAGATGATGGGGTAAATCGAACCGTGAAAGTTGAGGAAAGTTAAAACAAAGTTTTTTTCTATTTAGGTCGATGAACCCCCTGATTTTATTTTTGAGAGCCTTGTGAATGATGTGATCCGATTTGATAATCAATAAAGTGCGCCGCATGGCTTCCTAAAATAAAGAACTTTTTTCCAATAAATTGTTGCATGGACTTCACACGGGCTTTGGTCATTTATGACGTCCAGCCCATGTAGAAGCTGCGGAGCAACACAAACTCATCCCGGCCCATCTCCATACCTAGGCAGCCCAGCTCTCCACGCGCAGCCGAGAGACCGACAACCAACCGTCCCGGGCGACCACTGATAAGGCCGCGTCCGCTTGGCGAAGCCCACTCGGGAATAGGGACGGGAACCAGCGCCCGCGCCGCGTGGTCCGCGCCTCCGCGCTCCCGCGTCGCGCTCGCCGGCCAGGTTGCAATTGCAACCTGACGTGCACGGGCGACTGTCCTGCGCTCGCTTCGATCCGAAGCCTTGCCGGCGGGCTTTTTTCTATCGAGTTCGGCGACGCGACTGCGTGTACTGCCTGCCACTTGCATGTCAACGATGGGGATGGGCAACCAGCTAACGTGGTTTTTCGGTGTGGCTTATCGGTCAAACGAAAAGGGCCCCACAACAAGCTTGATCATCAGTTAAAAATACAGACATCTGCCTATCTGCTTCCGATGTCATCGTAAGCCAAGCACCCTAGGATTCACCAATAACCATTGTGGGTGTTGCTTCAATTTAATACTCATCGTCACCGAGAAGTTGCCTTTACGTCCACCGGATATCCTATAATCAGCTAAAGGAGACATTTTAAGAAGCAATTTGAGCATATAGGAGTGCAGCGTTGTAACAGATTACCTAAAACTGATCTCTTATAACTATCGTGACATGTGGTGCTCATGTGTCATAGTTAAATTAGTCTGCTCTCTTCTCCTTTTCCCGTCCAACGATGAGCACCATGGCTCCTCAACTTTGGAGGAGAAATGGTAGTAATTGCTAGCACAAATAGAACTACCGCCTACCGTTCTTTGAAGAATAACTAGGGACGTGTTTGTTTGCCTGGACTGCGGCCAGGAATAGATCCAAGCGGTGCAACCGCACGTGTCTGTGTTTCCTGGATGCATCGTGGGCCAGGTCCGATCTGCACGGTGCTTAAAGCACCATGGAGCCTAGCTGTTGGGAGGTTTGTTTCTGCCGGGTGCGGCTGGCTGTGGCACCGACACTACTCCAACGCGGGAGTGGGTGGTAAGTGGGGTTGGCTGAGGTGTGGGGCCCACAACACTTCTAGACCAACTAATAACATATGTACAAATGTCAAATCAATAGATACAAGTTCACCAAACAAAAAAAGTTGCATCAGTCTACCCCTTCCTTGAAATGCCCTGACTCTACTCGTTGTCGGTACAGGCCAACCTAGTATAGGCAAACAAAAAGGCCCTAGGCCTCCCTCTAACCTGCTGCATGAAGTATGATGTGGAGTGTTGCGTGGCGGTGTGGGAGCACGATGAGCAACTGACGAATGTGATCGCTGGACTACGCCCCAAGGGGTAGCCATGGCGGCTTCTAGGTCGGATGACCACACAACGCATATGTGTGCCTTGTAGACCGTGGCGTCATATTGTATGACGTCCGTTGTGGCGTTGTGGAATGGACGAACGAGCCACACATCGACATACTTGTGGTGGGCAGCGTCAAGGGAGCGGATTGATGGCGTGATGTCGTCTAGCATTAGAGGGACGGGGTGGGACCCAAGGATAGGAGAGGAGAGATTGTCTCGTAGAGAGGAGGATCGAATTAGGAGATGTCCTAAAAACATATGGAATTGATAGGAAGAGGGTGTTTGGACGGCTTCAATTTTCCGAACGCAATGTGACTAGGCCCGAACGGCCCAACAATCTTTCGTCTCCATCCACTGAACAGGTTCTTATCAGTACCGGGCTTCTCTCCCTAATCTCTTAGACTCCCATCTGATTTTCTTTCTTGCAATTCGCTCGGCGCCACGCACTCGAGTTCCTGCAACGCAATCCGTCTGGCGCTGGCCGGTTTCTCCACCACGGCTTCTCGCTGACTGCCACCCTCTCCACCGCGCCCTCACCAACTTTGGTCCCTCTCCGGTGATAGCTCCGGCCTGGAACAACGAGCAAGCAACAACCTCTCTCTCGCGCGCGTGTGTCCACCTTCCTCCATCGGCAAGTAGGCGTATTACGAGCCCATCCGTTGCTACTATCTTCACACTCCAAGCCGGACATCTAGTGCTGCTCAGGGAGGCCTAGATCCACACCCTCCTCTTTGGATATAGGGCTGCGGTTGCTCAATATACGTTTTTTGGGGATGTTGTATTTGTTGTTTCTCTATGTTGTATCCGAAGATTTCTCATATTTCCATAATAAATTCAGATGTTTCAGTAGATGGTCTCTCCTGTTGTTGCAATAAAACTACATGTTGCGTTTCATGAATGTTTGGTGTTGTATTAAATGATGATTGTTTGGTGTTGCAGATTTTGGCATGTTGATTAGAGATGTCGCATCTCCTTTTATTTTGATGTTTAGTAGCTGGCTATTAGGTGTTGCATTTTGTTGGTTTTCCATGTTGTAGTAAACAAAATGAGATGTTATAATAAATAATTCTCATGTTGCAGTAATAAAACTGAGATGTAGTAACTGATTATTTTGCCTATTGATTAACCATTTTTCTGTTGTTCCTAAGTGCAGCTTCTATTGTTGAGATTAGATCGTTTTGATGTTGCAAAACAGGGTCTTTTTTCTCCTATGTTGCAACATTTGCTTTTATGATCTTCTCATAGCAACTCATGGATGTTGTGGCAGATGTCTTGCTTTGTTTCGAGAATCTTCTGCATGGAACATGTTGTGAGGGGATATAAACTAATCATTTTGCTCTTATCTCTGGCTTCTATGCGATTTTATCGTTTGATGTTGTAGTACAAATATTTATTTATCTCACCCTTTTTCTTGTCTCTCTCTCGTGTGCCGGATGTGTGCGACAGGCACATGGCAACAAGAGAACCCAAATCGTCGTAGATGCTCGAGCTTTGGGCCCGTTAGGTGCGGTAAGGGATGGGGTGCAGGGCGCGACAAAGGATGGGGGCGCAACGTCGTGCCACACGCTCCGGTTGCGGAGGAAGTCGTGCGGCAAGGGACTGGGGCGCTACGTCACGGCGCACGCTCCTGCTGCGGAGGAAGTTGTGTGATATGAGCTTGGGTGCTCGAATTGGATGACCGAGAGTCTGCGTCCGGATGCTGGGACATCGCCAAGGTCCGGACGTCCGGGCAATAGCAATGCCAAAAATATAAGAAAAAAATATGTGTGGGAGATTTGATGAATCTATCTCTTATATTGCAAAATTTTAAGGATAAAACGAGAGGATATGATATCTGTTGGAGTTTGAATCGGGGCGCTCCAACAAGATGTCAGCTAGCTCATCGATATAGTATAGGATCACGATCCATCTACCAGATAGCGTTGGAATAGTAAAACCTCATCCAAGCCAGAATCTTATAATATTAATCCATGACCCATTTACCAGATAGCGTCATCAAGCTCACGTAATAAACAAGTAAAGAACTAACTTTATTCAACTGTATATAAGTGTGTAGCATGAGGCACAGTCATAAACATACACAACCAACGAATAACAACCACTATTGACTTTTCAACGTATCAACTCCACTCTGATCTCTTCACTGAAAGCCGATCACCTGCTCTGCTCCACAAGGCGACATGAATGGTCACACCTCACTCGTGCTGCTCTCAGTGGCAGTACTGGCGGTACCAGCAGCAGCGGCTGAACCCGGCGTCCCCGTCCCCGACGACGTTGCCGCGGCTGTGGAGCCACCACAGCAGGTTGGTCAGCGAGTTGCCATCATCATGGCCATTGAGTGCGCGGGTCTTGGTCAGCGCCGCCTCCTTGTCGTAGATCCCCTCCAGCGCGTACACGAAGCCCTTCCAGCCTTCGCCGACGCCGTCCCTCGCCAGCGCCGGGAGCGTCCACGCCACCAGATCCTTGACGAACGCCACGTCCGGGAACAGCGCCTCGCTGATGGGCAGCACGGGCAGCAGCTGGATCCCGAGGCGGCACTCCTTCCACTCGGGCGGCGCGAACCACAGCCCGCTGTCGCGCTTGTTCGCCCACAGCACCCCGACGACGCGGTTGTTCCCGCTGAAGTCGTCCTCGTAGATGCCCTCCCCTTCCCGGACGTGCCACCACGTCTGCGCCGCCAGCATCTCCAGCGCCGTCAGCGTGGCGCCCACGGACACGAGGTGCGCGTCCCCGTAGCTGAGCCCCACCAGCGCCGCCGAGTAGTAGGCGTTGACGGCCTCGCTGGTGCTCTCCTGGTTGCGCCCGTCGGCGAACTCCGTCAGGCCCCGCCCACGAGTGCAGCTTCCAGAGGTCGAACATCCGCAGCCGGGTAAAGCTGGCGCCGGCCTTGTTCCGCGACAGCGTCATGAAGTCGGCCACCATGGAGTAGGCCTGCGGCATGTACTTGCGGCCCCAGCACGGGTCGATCTTGGCCAGCACCGCGATGGCGTAGAGGAAGTAGCCCAGGTGGTAGTGGTGGTCGTTGTAGATGCCGAACCCGAAGTCGGCGCCGGAGTCCTTGAGCCCCTGCAGCGTCACCAGCCCGCCCCATTTGGCGTCGTAGAAGAAGCCGTTCCCCTGGAAGCTGCCGTCCAGCCACGGCGTGACGGCGGCCTTGAGGTACTGCTGCACCGCGGGGATCACGTCGGGGCACCCGACCTCCTCCGCGATCAGCGCCAGCCGCGCCGCGCGCGCGATGGCCCTCCCGTAGAAGTAGGACGAGGTGGTGGTGACCGCGGTGGACGCGAGGCCGGCCACGTCGGCGCGGAGCGCGGCCACGACCTCGGCGACGCCGTCCTCGCTGACGCCGCGGGTGGAGTGCCATGTCGGGGACACCGGGTCGGTGCGCAGAACCCAGGCGTCGCCGACCACGCCGACCATATCGCCGTCGATGCTCCGGTAGCGGCAGTCGTCGAGCACCCGCACGGCGCAGTCGTCTTCGGCGAGCAGGCGGAGGTGGAGCAGGTGCGCGAGCATGAGCAGCTCCCGGGCCCGTCCTTGCGCCAGGCGTAGTCGACGCAGAAGGGCGGTTGAGCGCGGCGTGGCCGGCGGTGGGGAAGCAGCGGCTGTAGCGGTCGAGGACGGGCTCCATGGACGCGTCGGGGAGGTAGGCGACCCGGATGGCGCCGGCGAAGGCGGGCGCCGAGAGCTGCGAGGTGGTGGCCTGCGCGAGGCGGATCGGTGCGGACGCGTAGAGGAGGAACGTCTGGCCGCTGTTCATCCGGAGGCGCCACTTGGTCCCCGAGTCGTCGCAGCAGGCGACGTCGAGGAAGGCGTGGACGGACGCGACAGAGACGTCCACGGGCCCCGCCGTGGTGGTGACGGTGACGTAGGGGCATCCGCGGACGAGGTGCGCGCGGAGGGACGGGGAGACGTCGAGCGTGACGGAGAGGTCGTCGAAGGCCGAGACGGAGTGGCGCTGCGCCGTGCTCCCGGCGGCGTCGGAGACGGTGACGTCGGCGACGAACGTCTGGATGACGAAGGACGGCGAGTGGTTCCGCGACGGGTAGCAGACGTCGAGGGCGGCGCCGCCGGGGGAGCGGACGGAGTAGGGGTGGATGTACTCCGGCTGGTCCCCGTTCTTGAGCACGAAGTTCTGGAAGAAGGAGTTGGTGGGGAGCGGCGCGGCGAGGAGCGGCGGCGCGAAGAAGCGGGACGGGTCGGGCACCACCGTGGACGTGGCGCGCGGGAACACGTGGTGCGGCATGGTGGTGGCGGGGGCGAAGGGGGGAAGGGGAAGCTCCTCCTCCGGCGGCTGCGGCGGGATCGAGACGGGCGGCGGAGGGGGAGGCGGACCGACGGGAGGGGTGGGCCTGGGCCTGGGCCGGGAGAAGGCGAAGCGCGGCTTGGAGGTGACGATGCGGGAGAGGGTGTGGCCCAGCTTCTTCGTCCACTTCCGCATCTCGCCGCCTGCTCGGGCTGGCTCTTTATACTTCCGGCGTGGTGTCGGTTGGGCTGGGCTTTGACTGGGCCAACGCGGCGAGATCTGACAACAAACAATCCTCGGGAGACAGGTCGGCGTGTTCCTGCGTGTCACACGGTACAAACAAACAATAGAGATTTTAAAATCTTGCAAATGGTACGACCTTCAATGGACGGATATGATTAGCGTCACTGGATTTTGTAATAAGCACTGGAACCACGAGACTGAGAGCGACGGCAACATCACTCAAAGCAAGTAAGCACGACGATATACAGAGTGTTTAACTTTGACTGGATCGACAGAGATGATTAGCGGCTAAGCGTTAAAAACGTGAAAACACATTTGAAGGGAAGGAATGATTTTACTATAGTATTTTCTTAGCACGCGAGGAGCCGAGGATAATTGTTGAGTTGAAGCAAAGAGGCCGGGAGGAAACGACAATGAACAGAACACACGAATCTGAAAAGAGACACGGCCGGGCGTGGATAACGTGGAGCGGTTCCGGCGTCCTACCTCGTTAACGATGAGATCAGGGACGACGCTGGCCTTCGGTTGGAGTGGTTGCCATGGAGCTGTGGCCTGTGGCCGTGGGGGTGATTGATTACCCCAGGCCGTGGGGGTAGGAAGACGCAGCGCAGCAGCCCAGGACCTGGATGGAAGGAAAGCCCCCGGCCGTGTGTGTCCCGCGTCGTAAGATTTGCTCAGCACGGGCACCGGCGGTTGGCGACGCCAGGAAACGTGTCTCGGGCGTCGATCTGATGTGATGTCCTCCCGGGCGGGCGAGGGAAGCAAGGGGTGATGGGCTTGCCGTGGCGGCGAATGCTTGCCCGCGAAGCCAGCGGCAGAGCCAAGACGGCCGGCAACCGCAACCGCAACCGCAAGGGTGCTCGTTGGTCGTTGCTTCCTTCGTTCCGGGGCGACACGACGTTGTCTTTGTCTCTGGTTGGAGTTGGACGCGCGCGGCGGCAAGGAAGAAACCCGTCACGTACCTGCTCTGCTTGTTACAGCGAACACGCGCCAGTGTTCCGATCCCAGCAGGGCGCAGCAGCTGCCGTCGCCGGTTGCCAGTCGCGCGTACATCGACGGCGAAGCAGCCTTCGGTGTTCGTTTTTTTTGTTGTTACCGAAGTTGGCTTGGTTGGGGCAACCACAAGCAAGCAAGTACTCACCTACGATAGGTTGGCAGTGGTGTTTGATCCGAGAACTAAAGTTTAGCGTCTGTCACATTGGACGATGCTAATAAGAGAATTAAGAATGAGCTAGTTATAAAACTAATTGCACAGATGGAGACTAATTTACGAGACGAATTTACTAAGTCTAATTAATCCATCTTTAGCACATGTTTATTATAGCACTACATTGTCAAATCATGCACTAATTAGATTTAATAGATTTATGTCGCAAATTAGTTTCCATCCATGTCATTAGTTTTTAAATAAGTCTATTTTTAATACTCTAAATTAGTGTTTAAACATCCGATATGACAGAGGCTAAAGTTTAGTCTGGGTATCAAGTAAACATAATAAGCAGAGTGTTCTGTTTTTGCTTTTCTCCAACTCAAAATATATGTGGGAGGAGGAAAAGCTATGGGAGAGGAAAACTGATTAAACTTTATATAGTTTGACTAAGCATAGATATAAGTTCTGTTTTGGAGTCAACTTCCGAAGTAGTAACAAGTGGAGCTACAGCTTGCAAAAAATCTATGAACAAAGATCTACCTAACTTGGAACGTGCAAACGCATCCGTTCCATGACATCCAACTGAATCTCTTGGTTAAAAATCCGACTTCCAAGTAGGTCAACTTCTACGGCAGCTTTAATTTAGGCAAATGAATAAAGGTTCAAGTTTGCAATACTTATACTTGCAAATTCTTCTGGATCCATCGGAGCACAAGTTTATCTTATTAAGGGCATGTTTGATCCATTTCTCTAAACTTTAGAGATCTTAAAGTTTTAGAACACTTTAGCTCACTTTTGAGCTCTAAAGTTCTAATGTGATGTTAATGTGACGTGGGATAAAGTTTAGAGCTAACTTTAGAATAATTTCAACAGTTTGTTTAAATTAGTAGGCAAATTCCTTTGCGTAGCCATTTTGTAAAATAGAAAACTTTTTTTAAAAAAAGAGAGGTCCACAACAGCTTTGTTATTTTACAAAGTCAGATAGCGAGCGTCCATTGTTAGCAATATATGGTCACCGAAAATCAAGGGATAGTCAGCTTCCTATTTTACGAAGTTAGATAACACGTCTGTTGAAGCCTACTGTCGGTGTTTTGAGTTGCCACCAACAAGTAAATTTCTAATATTGCGCGTCTGGCCCGAATGGTGTGCTAAGAGGACACGAGGTTTATACCGGTTTGGGCAGAATGTTCCTACGTCCAGTTCGTTGCTGCTGCTCGTGTTACTAGCACTGAAAGTTCGTAGTAGGGGTTACAAACGGTCGAGAGAGGGACTGGTCTTAAGTCTCTGGTGGTGTGTTATGGTGAGCTCTTATTCGAGTCGAGTCGAGTCGAGTCGAGTTCGGATGTGTTTGATCCTTCGTCCGATGCTCCCTAATGGGACGCCCTGCTTTCCCTTTTATAGGCCAAGGGGAAGCAGGGGTTACAGTGGAGGGAGAAGAGGAGAATCAGAAGAAGAAGTCCTCCAGGATCGTCGGGTCCTTCTTATCTTCTATGCGGGTCCCGCCGCCCCTGTAGACGTCCATAGGGACAGCTCCATGTCGCGGCCCTGTCCATCATTGGCACCACGTGTAGGCATCGTCTGCCTGTCATGGCGCTCTACTCTGTCCTGGCGATCGTCGTGGCGAACTGACACGTCCATCAGTGTTCGTACGGGGGTTAGGCTGAACAGCACCGGTACGCCCGACGCTGTTCCTGACATGAACCCCCAGGTATGGCCCGTCGTGGGTCGCGGGCTACGTCGAGGCATGCCAGTCTCTTCCCTGGTGTCAGAGCTTTGACCTAGACCCACACGCTTGGACTTGGAGTGGTTGGTGGCTGTATGGGTCTTCGTCGGGCGAGGCAGAACCCGCAGCCTCGGGGTCGGGTGAGGCGGAGCGCAGACCCAAGGGTCGAACGAGGCGGAGTCCTGCCCTAGAGGCCAGGCGAAGCGGAACCAGCCCTCAGGGATCAGACGAGGCGGAGTCCTCCCCTAAGGGCCGGGCGAGGCGAAGCCTGCGACCTTGGGGTCGGGCGAGGCAGAGTCCTCCCCCAGAGGCTGGGCGAGGCGGAACCAGCCCTCAGGGATCAGGCGAGGCGGAGTCCTCCCCTAAGGGTCGGGTAAGGCGGAGTCCTCCCCCAAAGGCCGAGCGAGGCGGAGTGCAGACCCAAAGGTCGGGTGAGGCGGAGCGCAGACCTAGGGATCGAACTTGGTGGAGTCCTCCCCTAGAGGCCAAGCGAGGCGGAACCAACCCTCAAGGATCGGGCAATGCGGAGTCCTCCCCTAAGGGCCGGGTGAGGCGGAGCCCGCGACCTTGGGGTCGGGCGAGGCGGAGTCCTCCCCCAGAGGCCGGGCGAGGCGGAACTAGCCCTTAGGGATCGGGCGAGGCAGAGTCCTCCCCTAAGGGTCGGGCGAAGCAGAGCACGGACCCAGAGGTCGATCGAGGCGGAGCTTGCGTACCTGGGGGTCGACAAGAGCTGTAGTCGCGCTCTTGACCACTCGGATGAATTAATGTTGATGGTTATTAGCTCCTCCTCTTTGGGTACCCTAGTATTGGTCCTCGACAGTAGCCCCCGAGCCTGCGGAGGAGTAGAATACTCCTTCAGAGGTTATTCTGAATGGGAGGACTCTGAGGGCCCTGGCCTTCTTTTTGTCACCCACGGCATGTCCCGGGGACGGTGATTCCCTCTCGTCGAGGTCTAACCCTTCGTGGGTATGGCCGCGAGATTTGATGGGTTGTTAGATGGCTAGTTCGAGTAGGGTCCTAGCATCCGGTTCATGGGGATTCGGCCAGGGCCAGCTTGGTGATCGACTCTAGATTCTTGGTGGTCAATCCGTATAGTTCTTGGGTCCGTTCGAGCTATCCCGAGGGCTATGCGCCTTTCTTCGAGGAAAAACCACGGATCGTGACTGGCCAAGACACGACCTTGAGCTGGGATGTCCGTGGCACTCATGTGCCTGGGTGCTGGCTGCTTGCGGGCCCATCCCTTTCCATCCCTTACTCTAAGGGTGCCTGGAACGGTTTTTGAACCCGTTGATGGGCCGACCTTTGAACTCCTAGGCCCTAGCAGGCCATAGAGGTGTTGTTTGATCCGTATTTGTCTTACTTGTGATGAGTTGTGGCCCGTTCGGAGAGGCGAAATGTCCAGTGAGTTTTCCAAGGGAACGGACAAAGATTGTGTGCACACTTCCTGCAGCGGGACGTTGTGGCAGATCGTGGCAGGCGCAGAGATCTAGGCCGATGGTTGGTTCCCTTGCATCCATCGCCCCTATAAAACCAAAGGGTTCTATACCTTACATCCTTGCCTCGCAGCCATGACTGCCGCCACCAATCGCCTAGGGTTCCTTGTCTCCACATCCCCACCGCTGTCGAGCTCGCATCCAACCTCTCCCACCTCCAATGGATCCTTGGTGCCGCTCCGACATCACCTTCCAGCGCATGGAAGGTCTCGTCCATCGCGGTCTTCTCCATGCACGGACCTCAATCGAGGAGTGGCTGCTGCTCGGGGAGGAGGAACTGCCATCGTCGCCCGACCGCTATGTGGTGTCGTTCGCCCACTTCCATGAGCATGGGTTCGCGACCCCTGCCCACATATTTCTTCGAGGGCTACTACATTACTACAAGATCGAG